TTCAATATTCTTTAGCTATAGGTTTATTTAGATTTTTTAATTTCTTTATGATTCAGTCTCAGTAGGTTGTATATTTCTAGGAATATCCAGAATGAGGAGAGAAGCAGTGCAGATTAACATGGGCTGCAGTGGTAATGCTGTTTATCCTTCTCTGTCTCTTGTGATAATTTTTTAGTTAAAATCTGTTTTTTCTGAAATACGTATGGGCATTCCTGCTCTCTTTGGGTTACTGTTTATATAGAATATCTTTCTTCATCCTTTCCCTTTCAGACTGTGTATGTTGTTATATCTAAAAAGTGAGTTTCTTATAGATAGCTTGTAGTTGGATGTTTTTCAACCCATCAGCCACTCTACATCTTTTGATTGGGGAGTTTAATCCTCTTATATTTAAAATAATTACAAGTAGGGAAGAACTTACCATTTCATTAATGTTTTTGTATGTTGTAGAGTTATTTGTACTTTTCCTCTGTTGCTGCCTTCCATCATGTTTCACTGATGTTTTTTGTAATGACATGTTTTGATCCCTTTATCATTTTCCTTTGTGTATCTTTTATAGGTATGACCTTTATAGTCACCATCGTAATTAAATAAAACATTCTGTAGTTATAGTAATTTAGAGTAATAACTTCAGTCAAATACAAAAACTTTGTTCCTTTACATCTCCTCTGGCACTTTATCAATGTTGCAAATTACATCTTTTTGTATTTTGTATTCATTAACATAGTTTATAGTTACAGTGTTTTTATGACTTTATCTTTCATATTTTATACCTGGGATAAAAGTGATTTATGAACTAGCATGGCAGTGTTACAGGATTCTGTGTTAGTCTATATATTTACCTTTACCAGAGAGCTTTATATTTTTGTGTGCTTTTCTGTTGCCGTCTAGCATCCTTTTGTTTCAACTTGAAGGACTCCCTTTAGCAATTCTTGCAAGGCACGTATAGTGGTAATAAGCTCCCCCAGCTTTTGTTTATCTGGAAAAGTCTTTACTACTTCTTTTTTGAAGAACCGTTTTATAGATACAGTATTCTTGGTTGGCAGATTTTTCTTCAGCACTTTAATATATCATCTCACTCCCTTCTAGCCTATAATATTTCTGTCATGAAATCTGCTAATAATCCTATGTCAGCTCACTTGTATATAATGAATCATTTTTCCTTTGCTGGTTTTGAGATTCTCTCTTTGTCTTTGACTTTTCAGTTTGATTATGTTCTTAGTATGGGCCTTTTTGTATCTATCCTGGTTGTAGTTTTTTGAGATTTTGAATTTGGGTGTTCATTTCTTTCCTCATATTTGGGATGTTTTCATCCACTATTTTTTCAAATAATCTCTCTGTCCTTCTGGGACTCCCTTAATACATATTTTGATATATTTATGGTATCCTATAATAGTCATAGGCTTCCATTCTGTTTTCTTTTTGTTCCTCTGACTTGATAATTTGAAATGACCTCTTTGTTCACAGATTATTTATTCTGCTTGATCACGTCTGTTTTTGGATCCTTCCAGTGAATTTTTCAGCTTGGTTATAATTATTGTATTCTTCAGCTCCAGAATTTTTTATGGGTTCTGTTTCTGATTTTATTCAGTTTTTGTTTTCCTTATTTCATTTACTGTCTATCTGTATTCTTTTGTAGCACATGAAGCTTATTTAATATAATTATCGTGACTTCTGTGTCAGGTAACCAATAGATTTCCATTTCTTCAGGGTCAGTGTCTGGAGATTTATTTGTTTGATTGAGGCACATTTCTTCTTGTGATTTCTTCATTGGAAAAAGCAGCCACCTCTCTCTTTTTGGATGGCTTTGTACAGGGTCAAATTATCACCAGTCAGCCCTGCTAGACATTACAGCAACTTGTTAAAGTTTTTTCAGGCTACATCTCTCTTAGCTTCAACATGTAATTTCCCAATTAGAGAGGTTCAAGTTTTGTGATCTTTTACTTCTTCTAGTGTCAGTTTACAGTACTGAGGGATTTCTGGCACTGTAAAAACCTACTGAGCCCTCTTTTGTTTTCTTCAGCCCTCAAGCATCCAAGATATTGTTTTTGTAACATCCAACATGCTTTAAACCAATTCCTCATTAGTGCTCTGAGTCAGACAGAAACCAGACCCTTGGGAAGCCCCCCAAAAGCTGGAATATTAGATGTACATTCCACTCTAATCTTTTCCTGCTGAGAAAGAACCTTTGAGCTGGGCACTTCCCCTTTATCACAGCAAGCCGTGCCAGTTTCTGTCCGCTGTTGGGGAGGTGCTCTGGCACTGCAGCAAGCCCCTGAGCTCTCTGTTGTTCTTAGTAGCTCTCAGGCATCCAAAGGATGCTGGTTTCTCATCAGCATTCCAAGTCAGTGAAGATAGAAATCAATCTTGGGCAGTTCCCTGAAAAAACAAAATGTTAGATGTATATTCTACTCCTGTCTTTCCTCCCATGGGAGAACTTCAAGTTGGGCTTTTTCTCTTCAGCCACAAGCTGTCCTGGCTTGGGGTGGGGCTGACACAGTTGAAATGCAATGGCTTTTCTCACTTGTTTCAATGCAGTTGTTCTTGGCTTTGTGCTTGCCTAGAGTACAGCAACTTCCTAACTCGTTTCTGGAGTTCTCATAAAGGTTTTCTGGACTGTGTGTTGTTAAGTTGGTGTCTTTGTGGGGGAAGAACTCCTGGGCTTCCTATTCGATTGGCTTGCTGACTGCGAAACTTTAAGTCTTGATATATACAAACAAGTTAATCTCAGAAAATATGTTCATTTCACTTATTAACCCAATATTTTTTAAATCTTGGACATTTTAATAAGCAATGTTGAATCTTATACTTAGGATCTTACATTTCAAATTATGTGATATTTGATATCTAAAAAAGGATCTATGTAACAATCTTAAGTTATGAAGCATATAAAATTAAAATTAATGAAGCTGTCATAAAACATTAGAGCCAGAACATTACTGTTGTGCCTACCTTGTGTGCTTTTCCTATTCTATCTCCTGTCTCCCCAACAGAAAACCATAATGAGCTTTATATCTTACATGTATTCAGGGTTTTTTTTTTCAGTTTCTTGCCTTTTCATATACAGTTCTATTATATATACAAACAATGTATTTAATTTTGCTTATTCTTAAGCTTTCTAAAAATGGTATCATTCAGTATTTAGTATTGCTTTTTTTCACCTAATATGTTCCTAAGATTAAGTAAGGTTAAACATTTTTTATATGTTTATTGACCATTTGTATTTTTTACTTTGGGAATTATACATTGTTAGTTTTATAGAAGTATTCTTTCTCTTTTTGGTATAGGTGAGTTTCAAGATTCCTTATTACTCTACATTCTTTGATTTGAATATTTTTCTTATAGGAAATAAAAATATCATTTGGATGTTTTAATTGGTCTTCAGATTCTCATTTTCTGAACCTATTTTTTATTTAATTTCCCTCTAGGAAATAGTAATCGTTGGTATAGTGAAATGATTATAATAACTTGTTTTATTATTTAGGCATAAAACCCACCCAGACTTACAAATGCTTATATATCCGTCTACACCTGCTCATTTATGGCAGCGTTACTCCATGAAAATTGATTTTGAAAATGATAAAATATTCACAATATGTCCTTCACTGATCTTTATAATAGAAAATGTTTAAAAACTGTAGCTGTCTTTTTTAAACTGGACATTTGAAATTTTTCTGAGGTCATTTTCATTTTTTAAAGGCTTATTCTTTCCACCAGATTGGAATTCCATTTCACATTAGGATTTCAGAAGGGCTTTGGATGCCTGAGGGAGATATCAGTGTTCTGTTTTATTCATATAGCTAACTTATATCTATATGAAAAGTGAAGTAAAAGAAATTGCCTAGAGCTATGTTTTTCAAACTTTCTGACCTGAGCTCATTCAAGTTCTTTAAAAGATACCTATTTACACTTGTCTATGAAAGAAATAGACTTAATTGTAACAAAAAATTAGAGAAGAGCAAAACAGTAAAAAAAACACCAAAAATTTGTAGACACATTCAATGCACTAAACTAAGGCATTTTATTTACTCCAGTAATATCAATGATGGGGGGGAATGGTAGTGTCTTTGATAAGAACCCAGTGAGGACTTACAATTTTGGTTCAGTTGACCACCCTTAAAACGTGGGATTCTGAAAGGTCATCTTGCTTTTATTTATTGTCAGAGATTACCGATAAACTACTAAAATATAAAGTATACTCAGAAAATAAATGATCAGTATATATCAGGGGACTACTCTCATCAAAAGTGAAGCCCCCATAAATAGAAAAAAACAACTGTAGGAATTTTGAGGGGAAGAAATAAAAACTGGGGCTAGAGGAGTGGTTCCTTTAGAAAGTATAGCAGCAGAACTTAGGGTTAAAGAGTACTACTAGTGTTTCCTGCCAATATGGGTGCTCAGCGCTCCCTGAATGTCGTCAGTGAGGCAGACTGCATCATCTCCCACGGCAGCCGCTCCATGTCTGGGCAGTATAATTCTGTTAAAGTTTTTCTTTCTACTAAGCCAAAACTTGCTATACAGGGCAAAACCAGTCTACTTGTATAAGAATATTTTTCAAATATTTGAAGAAAGCAGTTGCATGATCTAGGCTCTCTCCTCCATGGGATATGCTTACCCAGCCTCCTGTGCTGTTTTTCATTTGATACAGATTTAGGGCCACTCACCAGCCTTGATAGGAGGCTAATGATGCAGCACATACTGATGTTATGACTTCCTATTTGTTTTTGCTTCAGTTGCTCTTTGTTGTTTGCTAAGTTATATATTCATTTGAATGAATACATATAAATGCATAATAAGTGATGTTTTATCTACATTATAGATCCCCAACAAGAGATTTCTTTTACATTTCAGAAAAAATAAATAAATTATATCCCTCAGAAGTTGGCCTCCAAATAAAATAACCTGCCTGTTTCTTGGCAAATAAGTATGCTTTAAGAATCATAATATAGTGTTATGTTTTCTCACCATGATAAACAAATGCATTTTTATTTTTGTGTTTTCAGATAGTGGCCAGAACTATAGTGCCAGTAGTAAAGGTGAACGACTAAGTGCCAAACTCAGAGGTTTACCTGGGACAAATGAACCTTATGAAAGTAGCAGTAACAAAGAAATAGGCAAGTGCCGGTGCTCCCCACTCAGTTCCTACAGGCTTAACAGGAATGGAGAAGATTGGTGAGATGGCGAAATGTATAACTGGGCATTATTAAGGATTTAAATATCCAGACAAAACTTTAAATGACTTCGGAGAGCATTTCTGTTCACTCTGAGTTCAGTTTTGATTAGGAGACTACTTGGTCTCACGTTTGTTTTGTCCTTCTATATTACTCTAATGTAACCATGTATTTTGAAACCTAGATGCCTCCTATGTGGATCCACTTGGACCTCAAATGGAAAGACCAAAAACTGCAGCCAAAAAGAGAATCGACGAGGACGATTTTGCTGATGAAGAGTTAGGAGATGATTTGCTTCCAGAATAATATACACTTTAATATGTTGTTGATTAAAGGAAAGAAATTGCCTTGCACAAGATAATACTTATATTAAACTCTGGATTAAATATCCAAACTTTAATTTTGTATACCATCAAATTTGAAGTAAGTGTATTCTATATGAGTGTAAATTTTGTTTTGAATGGAATAAAAATATATGAAAGTAATACTTTGGACCAGTGACTTCCTCACTCTTTGAAAACACTGACCCACAGTAAGAAATAAATTTTGTAGCACTACCAGGCACCTATATACACATATAAGTATGTGTCTGTAGTCACAAAACTTTACCATTATTACTGCAGTTCATGCTGGTATCTTCTATAATTTCATAAAAACAAAGTGTTCATAATGAAAACACTATGTTGACTTCATGGTTTGCAGCTGGTAAAGTCCCATGCTCGGGCATATCCTTGATGAATCTTTATTCAAGTTAAATTACTCAGAATTGAGAAACCATAAGTCTTTGGAAGCTTTGCCTCATGGGATTCTAACACTATTAAAACAATTATGTTTTGGAGGCAATACAAAGTATAGTAAGAGAAAATAAAAACCGTAACCGTAACCTTAGTGCTCATTTCTGTAGCCCTTTCTACCCTCAGCCCCATTGCATGTACCAGTAGCACTGAGCAAAGTCAGTTTGGAGTGCTTTTCCCGTGGGTGATTAGGGCATGGAGGCCAGGACTGCCTGCATCCCTCTTCAGCAGTGGGTTTGTCCGATAAACACTGTCCAGAGGATTTGCAGTGCTGGGGCAGCTAGAAGTGGCTCATCTTGAACACCTCACTAGGGAGGCTGGACGTCTCCATCTTCTTTAATGTTGTCTCTACAAGGTGGGTGGTACTGTTGGGTCCAGGAGGAGGAAAACCAAACTTAAATCATATTCCCTGCTCCCCAAATAGGTGTGAGGTAAGGGAGAAGGCATTCAACACATAAATATTTATCTAGTATATGCAAGATTTGAGAGATACAGTAGTGAGCAAGACAGAACGAGACCCTGCCTTCAATGAGCTTAAATTCTGATGAGGAAGACAAATATATTTTTAAAAGGACTTTGGATATTGTTAAGTGAAATTAATAAAATAAAATGAAGTAATATAATAGGGAGTGATGGGATAGAGGTGGGGCTCACTGAGATGGGAAGACCCTTCTAGAAGGTGGCATTTGTAAATACCAGAATGAAGAAATAAAGAAAGCTGTATTCCAAGCAGAGGGAATGGCAAGGATGAACACACTGAAATGGGGACGAGCTGTCTGCGCTGGAGGGTCCCTGAGTTCGAGTGGGAGTTAGTCAGAGGGTTTGGGGCCCAGTCGGGTGGGTGGCGTGTGGTGAATGCAGGGGGGGGAAAGCTGAGGTCCGAGAGGTCGGCAGGGGCAGATCATGCAGAGCCTGAGTCGAGTTTGGGTCTCACACTAGTTAACGATTGAGAAGTCTTCAGAGAGTTTTATATAAGGAAAGTGAGTGAGGTGATCTGATTTAACCTCGAGAAACCGGTGATCACCCTGGCTTCCATGAGGCAGGATTGATGGGGGCAGGTCAGAGGGGAAGCCGGGGATTGCAACAGCTGCTGGCGGCCTGGAAAAGAGACGAGGGGACAGAGACCAGGTTTTTAGTCATGGCGACTGTGAGGGTCCTTCAGATTTAGCACGTGGTCTGGAGGTAGGGCCCAGAAGACCCACTAGCGGACTGGACATGGGTCGCGAGGAAAAGAAGAGGCAGGCGAGGAACTGGCTGGGGAAACGGGTGGCTAGTTTGCCTTTATTACGGAGGTAGCAGTGAGTTTGGGCCACTGGCATCATGGTTCAGCCATGTTAGAGTTGAGAGTTCTCCTAAGAATCTGATCAGAGATACAAAGAATGTGGTTGGATTTACAGATTGGAGATCCAAGAGGTTAAGGGCTGGGGGTGCGGGTTTGGGAGCCACCAGTGCACAGATAGTATTTATCACCATGACCTGATCGAGGACAGAGAGCAGAAGTCTAGCCGTGATCTCTGGAGGTCGGGAAAAGGAAGGCAACACCGCAAAACCAGGGCGAAAGGAGCAACAAGCGGTGTAGGAGACCCCAGGCTGAGGGGGCGGGACCTCCAGCTCTAAGCGCCGTGGAGCTGTAACGACTGGGCAAAAACAGAGAATCACTGCAGAAATCCTGATTAAAGCCACCGAAGAGCTTGGGAAGCAACAAGACCAAAATTCCAGAGAGGAAAGCTATTTCCAGATGAGCTGATGACCCTGGCTGTTTTCACCTCTAGATACTTGCCAGTTTTGAGTGTGGGTGGGAATTGGGCCTGGCCCGGGAAAAGGACTCTTCCAGGGAAAAGGGTTTTTGGTGTCATGTGGGGTTGGTACAACAAACTGGAAACTTAGAGGAGTCCCAGGCTTCTGACTAGTTTTCTACTTTGGGCATCTGCTGAGCCCTACAGTGGTGCTGGAGGCTGGGGACCGGGCTGGAGCCTTTTAAAGTTTGAAAAGCCTTCGGAGATTTAAGTACATCTCTCACAATCCTATGGGCCTTGGGGGACAAAGTCCTAGAGAGAAGGACTTTGCAGGAGTTACAATCGATCTACCCTCAAGACGTTTCGTATTGAATGAAGCTGTGGGGGGCAGGTGGCTAATGATCTAAATTCAAAGCCTCCAGGGTCCCACTTGACTCTCTTGCTCTCTTTCCCAGCGGAGGAGACAGATCTGCGAGGCCGTCAGTCAAAAGCCTGGAATGACAGACATGAACCAGGGGTGGACCAACTCTTAGAAAAACTGCAACCCAGCTCAGCCCCTGATTATATTAAGGTCATTGGTCCCAAGTCCTTTCTACTAGCAGAAGAAAGAGGAAATTCTCTAGGAACAATAACATTTGTAGCCTATGTGGTTCTTGTATATACAATGTTAGGCCTCCAATAAAAAAGCAAGAAAATGACCAATAATCTAAAGAAAACATAAATAGCAGCAGCCCCTTGGATAATCCAGATGATGGATCTGACAAACAAGAGCCTTAAAATAACTGATAAGAATATTAAATAAAATAGAGAAAAGATGGACAAAATGGATGAAAAGATAGAGAATTTCAACAGGGTATTGGACCCTATGAACAAGAGTCATGTGGATAAGCTACAACTAAAAGATACAATATTTGAAATTAACTTACTTGGATGGATTTGATGATACACTGGAGACAGAAGTCAGGACAGTGAACAGGTCATTAGAAAATATCAAAATTGAAGCACAGACAGAAATAAGAATGAAAAGAGTTGGGACATGGTCAAAAGTTTAAATAAGTATAATAGGAATCTCAGAGCAGGCAGAATGGAGAAGTAACATTTGAAAAGATAGTGTCCAGAATTATCCCAAATTTATGAAAAACATCAGTCCACAGATTCAAAAAGCAGTGAACACAATGAAAGTAGATACAAAGAAAGCTGCCACCCCAGACATACACTCGAATTGTTGAAAACCAAACACAAATTATTTAAAATAGCCAGAATAAAAAGGACACATTAGCTTCAGATGACTTAAAGCTGACTTTCAGTAGAAGTTAAGGAGACAGGAAAAAAACAGAACAATATCTTTAAAGTGCTAAAAGAAAAAAAAACTGCCAACCTAGCATTCCATTCCAGTGAACAAATTCTTCACACTTTACTGCTAGAGACTTCTCAGGCAAAAAAATTTTTAATTAATTACCATAAGCCTATAAGAAATATTAAAAGTATTTCTATAGGCTAAAGAAAAATTATCCTAGAAAGAAGCATGAAATAAAAGAAAGGGTGAAAAGCACCAAAGAGGTAGGGGAATATATAAAAGAGTAGTGACTATTTGAAGCAACAATAATAATGTTGCCTTGTGGGGTTTTAACATAGTTAGAAACACATAGAAAATATATAACAACAGTAGCCCAAAGATTGGGAAAAGGTATTACAGTGTTGAAAGGTTATTATATTCATTCAGACATTGTGCAGACTGTAATAAGTCAAAGATACATATTGAAGTATTTAGGGTAACAACTGAAATAAAACAATATATAATTCAAAATCTAATAGAACAACTAATAAATATAGAAATAATTGCAGAGTTAGAAAATCACCATCTTGGAACCACCACAATAGTAATTGATTCAGGCAAGAATCAATGGAGTTCTTTGTACTACCCTTAAGTTTTTCCATATGTGTGAAATTATTTCAAAACAAAAATGTTTTAAGCTAGTGGAGGATAAAATATAATAATAAAAATCTTGATTGATCCAAAAAAAGGCAAGTAAAGGAAAAATAAAGAGGCAAAGAAGAGATGAGCAAATAGGAAACAAGTAACAGTAAGGTAGGACTTAAATGCAATGATATCATTTATGCTACATTAGTATTTATAAAAAGTAAACCCAAATATATTAATAGTTACATAATTAATAATTCTTACATTAGTAAATACTGTAAATGTAAAAAGATTGAATATTCCAATTAAATGACAGAGATTATCAGGCTGAATTAAAAATAAGATCCAGTTATGTGTTGCTTACAAGAAGCACATATAAGAGTACAAATATGTTGAAATTAAAAGATGGGAAAAGATATACGAACATTAATCAAAAGGAATAAGGGAGTGGTCAACTATGTCAAATGATGCAGGAAAACCTAATATGGTAACAGTAATTGATTTTTGCAATAATTACAGCAACCTTGTTAAAAATCATGATGATGATGAAGTATTGGGGATAAATACCCAATTGGAGTAGGTTGAGCAGAAAATAGGAAGTGAGATTTTGGAGCCAGAAAATAAAAACAACTCAGAACACTTTGCTATAACAGGAAGTTGGGAAATTAGATGGCAGATAAACTTGGGGTACTGGGCTCAAAAAAGAGTTTATCAAATTTATCAGAAAAGAAAGCAGGATATATGAGAGGGAAAGCAAGGAGTTTAGTATACTTGGTGGTAGAAAAAAAGTAATAGCTCTCATCTGTGTGAGGGAGGGACATGAAGTGAGGAGAGAAATTGGTAGCAGAGACTTAAGAGGCAATGTAAATTAGTGACCTTGAAAGAAGGGACTGTAACAGGGAAAATGTAATAGATAATGTGTGTGTTGAACACGAGTCTGATATTGTGGCCATAAATTAGAACTGAATGTAACTCTGGGGAAAGGAAATCCCAGGGCAAAATATCTCTAAAACTGAAGTCAGCAAAGGGAGAAAAGTTTAAAACCTGTTTATTGCTTACAAACTGCAGTCTGGGCTGTCTCTCTTTCCCGCTCTTGCAGAAGCAAAAACAGCTTTTTCCCTCACCTCTCAGGTTCAGATAAGCCCTCAGTTGTCCAGGTAATTATCCATTGATGTGGAGATGAGCTCTCCACCCCTGAGGAACACCTATGGATATGCAGATGCACTAAAGCTACACTTATCTCCATCCCTGAGGATGCAGATGCACTAAGGCCAGGTGAGATATTCTGGAAATATTATAATTTACCCACACTGAGTTTGCCCAGTTTCATGATTTTAACAGAGTTGGGTTTATTACAGACAAATGTAACAAAGGAAAGAAGGAACAAGGGATTAAGGGTGTGGTAATGTTAAAGTAATAGTGTTGAACCATGAACTCTAAACTAGATAAGAAAGAAAATAAAGAGTCAAATGTGGGATGGTTAGTAGAAAAGTGGTTGGATTAGAAGACTTGATGAGATAGAGAATGACAGGAGTGGGGAAGGTAGCAAGTGATTGCTTCAGGAAACAGGATATTTGAAACCATGTTTGGATGTAATGCAGTTACATTACATCATTACATGATATCATCTAGTGATGATAATCTGGAGTATGACCATATGATTTGTTCAGATGTGATGGAAGGAAAGCCAATTGGCCCTAAGGTAGTCACTTAGAGACCAAGGTATTGAATGGATCATCTGTGTGGATGTTAAAAGGTGTGGGGAATGACGGACAGGAGAACTGGTAGAGATAAAAGTGCTGACAGGAAGATAACAACGATAAAGGGAGCCATTTGCGGCAAAATTAGAGTCCTTAAAAAGAGGGATACTGGTGCGTAAAAGGCTTTTGTCAGCAACTTGGTCCGATTTAAGCCGTACCCGGTATTGGAGCTGCTGAGTGAGGAGGTGGAAGGGAGGGACTGGAGATGATTAAAATGAAGCCTCCCAGAGAGTGCTGGAGAGGCATTTTACTTCTAAGGGAGCATGTTGAGCCTGGTTCGTCTTAAATTTCATTATTAAGATGTTTATTTCACATGTTCATAAATATGTTCATATTTGAGGGGAACTGATTACAAATTATACAACATCTTGCAGCTGTTTATATTTTCTCAACTGTTTAATCTCAAAAGATGAATTTTATATTCTGTCAAATAGGTGAACTTTCAGTAATTTGTGATCCTTCACAGAAGGAAAACTGTTGGAAAGTATTTCCTTTTCCACTTCCAAGGTAATCAAGAGGGAAGTTACCATGTTATCAGAAAATGGAAGGTATTTTATTGAATAATATATAGAATTAACAGTCTGATGCTGTCATCTTATGAGAAGATTTTATAATGAGAATTTTGAGTATTTCTAAAACACTATTGTGATGAGTCTCAGTCCTTAAAAAACACTCACACTTTTTATCAAATGAAAAATAAGCAGTATTTGAGTATTGATATCTTTATTCCCATTTTAGCAGAAAGGAAACAAAGAACATGAACAATTTATCTACTTGTCAGAAAAAAGTGTTTTATAACCTCAAATGTTTACTCACCAAGAGCTGTAAACTGCTTAAATGGCTTAAATTGGAGATTTCGGTGGGATTGTTAGCAGTAAATAAAGTACTTCATAAACTCTTCAGTTATAGAATATTCAAGGCACATAAAAGTGTTGTTTTTCTACACAGCATAACTGAAATGTAGCTTAACCATTAGACAAATACCTTGTAGACAACCAAGGTAGTCAAGTACCAAAACTGCCAACTATTAAAGGAGCTATAAATTACATATTTTCTACACTCTGAAACCTTTCGACTGGTATCCATCTTTGTTTTACTTTCAAAGTATGAGTGCTGTAAAATAACCATGTTCATTAGCCTACCACCTAAAAAGCATTAAGCATTAATCTGTAGAATGAACGAATGAGCCAGTTTCCTTGTGTTCTCGTACAGTTTCTTCATTATAATTTATTGACAGAATATCACGCTTATTTTACATGACTGCTTGCACATACAACTTCGTCATGGAGTCCGACATTGTAACAGACCGAGTGATGCCCAGGTACAGCCAAAGACATACAAGTTGGGGGAAACAGTACTTTAAGAGTTGATAGAGGCACAGAAGGACCATTTCATGGGTGTTTGGGGGAAAGGAGAAATAGCCTCCTCTCACACTATTAAAAAGAGATTTTTTTAAATCTCTAAATACAATTCTTTGAACTCTGAATCTCAGAAGAGGACGTTGTCCTAAAGAGAATCCTTCTAGGTGTTGAGTGCATTCTTTTTCTAGGTGGCCTGCTCTGATCTCGGACAGCTTTAATGACCAGGGCACTGCTCACGCTCCGCCGGCACGCCTCCCCTACCCGCCGCTCGGAGGTTCGGAGCCCGGGCCCCCGGAGCCGGGCGCGGGGCCCTCCCCAGGCGGCGCGGCGCGGGGCGACTCCGAGGCTCCTTCGGGGGGCCGCGGGCGGCCCTGGCGGGCGCACTTCCTAAGTAACACGCGCCTTCCGGTCCCGCCTGGTCCCGCGGGCGGCCGAGGGCTAGGGGTCCGCTCACTCCCGCGGGTCCGGGCAGCCCGCCGCCCCTCCTCCCTCGGCGCGGCCCCGCGGGGGCGGGCGGGGGCGGGGACGAGCCGCGGGGCGGGGGCCGGGCGGCTCGGCGGCTGCGGGCATGGCGCGCGCGGGGGTGAGCGGCGGCCGCCGTCAGAGGCACTCGCAGCCCGTGGCGCAGCAGCCGGGCAGGCACACGCAGACGCGCACCGCGCAGCCGGCCCCCGCGCGGCCCCCGGCTCGGGGCGGCGGCGGCGGCGGACCGGGGCGCGCGGGCCGGCGCGGGGCCGGGCCCCGGGGCGCCCTCGGGCGGCGGGCGGGCGGCGGCGGCGGCGCGCGGGGGCCCGTCTGGTCGGCGCCCATCCTCCGGGCCGGCCTCCCGGCGCGCGGGGAGAGGGAGGCGCCCAGTGGCCCCCAGACAGCCGCGGGCGCCTGGGGTGCGGGCGGGGGCGCGGGCTCCTCCGCCGCGCGGCGCTGAGCGAGCCTGTCCCGCAGGTCTGGATGCTGGCGGCCGGCGTCCTGCTGGCGCTGTATGCGGGCCGAGCCGCGGGCGCCCCGAGGGCGGGCAGGCGCCCGGCGCGGCCGCGGGGCTGCGCGGACCGGCCCGAGGAGCTCCTGGAGCAGCTGTACGGGCGGCTGGCGGCAGGCGTGCTCAGCGCCTTCCACCACACGCTACAGCTGGAGCCGCGCGAGCAGGCGCGCAACGAGAGCTGCCCGACAGGGGGCAGGCCAGCCGACCGGCGCTTCCGGCCGCCCACCAACCTGCGCAGCGTGTCGCCCTGGGCCTACAGGTGAGCTGCGGGCCCGGGCGCCAGGTGGGCCCCCGAGGCGAGGGAAGGTGGGGTGCAGCGGTCGGACAGGGAAGCAGGGTGGAGGCGCGCAGGATGCAGCCAATAGGGAGGGGAAGCGAGGTGGGTGGGGCGGGTGGGAAGCGGCCAATAGGGAGGGGAGGCGAGGTGTGTGTGGGGGGGTAAGGTGGGCTCGTGGGGTGTGGCCAATAGGGAGGGGGAAGGAGGTGGGTGGACTGGTGGGGGCAGGTGGGTTCAGTGAGTAGAGCTGCGAAGTGAGGTGGATGGTGAGGGGACTGGGGACAAATGGGGCGCGGTAAAGGCAGGTGGGAGGGGTGGAGCAAGTGGGTTGTCCAGATAGGCACAATTCATTCCCACGAAGGCCTGTCAGCTCCCCCCTACGCCTTGAAGGAAACCTGCTTCCCTTTATTTATCTCCCCATTATTAAATATGCATGTATTCTTTCCCAGGTACATAGTTAAATGGGTGCCACAAGGGACCAAGCCAAAAGATCCTTTATTAATGTACATAGCATTTTGTACAGGAGGTGTGGAAGTCAGCAGACATTCCTTGAGTGACTATGGGGGTCTAGAGCTGCTGGGCATCCAACCGCACATCTTCTGAGACATTGAGCTTATAGTCTAAGGGACGAGTGGGGATATTTGGGAAGAAGCCTTAACACAAGGCAGAATATGATTTAGCATGAGAAGTTTAAGTGTGTGATAGTTTAAAGTGGTGGTGGGGGAGAGTTTTGAAGGATCAAAATTGCATGTGAAATGCACTTTGGGGAACGGCCATAATTCCAGGATGGGCTTGGGAAAGGGGGTCATCTCAGAAGAAAGAGAGTGTGCAGAAAGGGGTGTGTGTGCCGTGGTTAGCGTGGCTGTGCATCCTCAGCACGCGCTATGGCGGGCCCCTCCCGCCATGACTGCTGTGGTCCAGCTGGAGGAGGCGGCGGCCCACACGCTGACACAGGTGTGGAGAACGGCTTCAGGGAAAGAGCCAGGACAAGGCCTGCGGGCAGGAGCAGCTCACCTGTATGGGGAGGGCTGGCGAGGGGAGCAGACTGAGATCTGGGCCCTGTAGGCAATGTCCAAGTTGGATGCTTTTTGATCGAGGAAGCCAAGTAACCAGTCTGTGTTTGGAAGCCGTCCAGACGGGGAAAGATCTGAGGAGATACCACACAAACGTGGTTGGTACTTCTGTCGAAGGGCAGTTATGGTCTGAATCGGGCAGTGCACTGGAAAAGGTGAGACTAGGGTCAATTTGGAAGATTTACTTAAAGGAGATGATTGTATGTTGGGGTGAGGGAGAAGGAGGGGGCATAAGATGCGAACGAGTCAGGCTTTACCCTGCTGTTGAGATGTGCAGAGAAAGTGCAATCGTTCCGTCAAAGTCCAATCTCCGCTCCCTGAAGCCCCCGCCTGCTTGTCCCTGGGCCTCCCTCCTCTAGCTGTGCCATGAAGGACCAAGTTGACTTGTGACTGAGGCCCCCCTGGCAGCCAGGGGAACCCACCCTGCCCTCCTTGCCCCTCTCATTCATCTGATGTCCTCAGGACACACCAATCAAACCAGTCATTCTGGTGGTTTCGTTCTCTTGCTTTTCCTCTCCCACAGCCCAAAAGGGCAGGCTATTATATTTAACTTCTTTCCCCAACCTCATTATACCTTTGATAGACTGAATTGCATTAAAGAGACTTGGGACATCTCTCAGCGTGACAGCTTGGCCTCTGTGGACAGAAGCTGCTGCCTCTGTAATTTTCTATAACAAACTCTAATCTCTCCAGGCAAACAGATGCCTCCACACTAGGCTGAGAGCCCTGTGGGACAAAAGGCAGAAAAGTAATACACAGAGGGCATTTTTCAAGACCTCCTGTTGGGCATGTCTCTCACATCTCTGGTTCGAGTTAATGGAATTTAAGCAAAGGAGGGGAACAGAATGAGGAGGGTTTGGGGGAGGAAATGAATTCAGGACTAGACCTGTTGCGTTTACATGCCTGAGAAGTATACAGGTGCAGGTGACCAGCTGGCCATGGAAGTGTGGTCTCAGGAGAGGGATCAGGGCTGGCATACAGATCTGGGGTTAGCCCCGGAATGCCTCACCTAGTAAGTTAAATCGAGTTGCCCTTGCTACTCTCCTGGGGACTGGCTTCTGCATCCCTCCAGGAAAGACCCAAGGGCAGCAGGGAGGAGGGAATGGCTACGGGAGGTCATGGACAAGAATGGCACACAGTGCTGAGTGACCCTGGTGGGGGCTGTGGGGTCTCCCACGGATCCCTGGCGCTGCGGAGCCCGGGAGCAGGAGCTGCATCTGTATCGGAGGCTTACAGCACCATCTGCATCCACGACCATATCACTCGGCCACACTGGGGACACTGTTCCCCTGGTGTGCACATGGAGACCCAGTGGCTTACACTCTCTGAAGGAAGGACAGCCTTCAAGGGATGGGCTCTGGGCCAGGACTCCAGATTGCTGGATGCTAACACTGGCCCTGCCTTTTCCTGCCAGGAGATGGCCTCTCTGCACTCCTCACCTCTGATTACTCCTCATCACCACCTCCCAAGGTGTCGTGAAGATTAGAAAAAGCAATACATGTGAATGTTCAAAACCTTTCCTAAAAGAGATGTGCAGAGGACAGCCCTGGCCCTTCGTGCTGATACTGTGGACCAGGTAGTCTGAGGGAAGGCATGTGCTCAGCTGTGCAGTGTAAGCTTGGAATTAGAAGTGGTATTTAAGGCTAAAAGGAGCCAGTGAGAACTCTTAAGAAAAATGGAGAGGGAAGCCGACTGCAAGTCGGAAATACTGAGAGGCCCAGAGAAGACCACTTGGGTGGATAGGAGAGGTTGTAGAATAGGAATTTGGACTATAAGGTGGATTTCCATATCTTTGGGGAAGAGATGGATCATTCAACAAATGATGTTGGTGCAGCTGAGTAACCAGCTGGCAAAAAATACAATTGGATCTCACACCCATATCAAAATAAATTCCAGATGATTCAGAGATTTAAATGTAAAAATAAAACCACAAAAACAGATTTAAAAATATGGTCCATTATATTTGCAGTCTTGGAGTGGAGAGACCTATTTAGTTGCTCACAGACCACCAAAGTCATAAAAGATGAGACTGATAGATTCAGTTGCATAATTATGTGCCATTTCTTCTTGGCAAAATTCAAAAAATCAAATAAGAAAAATATAAGGGCAAACAGAAAATTCTGGCAGCCCATGTCGCAAAGGGCTGGTTTCCTCAGCGCTCCTACAACCCGACAGGGCAAAGGCAGAATGAAAACATGAGCAAAGACCACCGACGTTTCCCAGGGAATACAAGGTGCTGGACTTCAAGGTAGTAAGTGACATGTGTATTTAAACTACTGAGACACCTTTGGGTCTTTGACTCCCATCAGGCCTCTTTGAGGCAGGTGTGAGGAGAAGCATTCTCATATAGCAGGGGAGCGGGGTGAACTGGTACAGCTTCTACAGAGGGCAGTTTGGTATTACCTACCAAAATCTTAAATTCCCTGACCCGGCAGTTCCGTGGGCAGCCACTCTCGCCACCGACCAGCAGATGCTCACGCGGGGCGCCGCCTGCGGTAGCGGCCGGGGTGGAGACACACACACACCAACAGATAACTGGCTGACAAAGTGCTGTAAATGGTTGGGGGAGAGACACTGCAGCGCTCCGCGGGCCTAAAAACAGAGGGCAGCCCGGGCCGCTGCCTTGTGCTCCTAGAGACGCCGCCAGGTTCCGCCACTGCGCTGAGACCGCTCAGAGCGCAATGGCGCCTCCCCGGAGGGGAGCTGGGGGCGGGGGCCAGAGTGGGAAAGGGACCTACTTTCCACTTTTGTATTTTGTGAATTTTCTGCCCTGTGTACGCACTGTTCATTTCATAAACATCTTGGTTTTTAAATTGAGAGCAGAAAGGGAAATGCGCCAACCTGTGGGAAAGGCATAAACTAAAGAAAGGAAGCTTCGCCAGGTTCTTGCAGCCTCTGGCTCCCCAAAAGCGCCGGTGCGGGGGGACCGCGTGCTCTTTCGGGCCTGGGAGGCACCGGAGGGACTGAGGAATGCGGCTAAGTGACAGGCGGGCAATGGTGCAGCCAAGTCGAATCCCAGACTGTCCCCACCTGGCTCATGTACACCATTAGAAATGCGACCTTCAACTTCCAGAGCATAAAAATATTTTTTCATTTACTCTGTGGCAGTCATGTTTGTTTCTCTTAAGCTCCAGAAACAAAAATGCCAAAATAAAATCAGTGTGATTGCTCAATACGTGTATTTAAAGGCAAATTGACGTAGTAAGAAATATGTTGTAAGAACACTGAGGTTTATTAAGGTTTAAAGATACACATCACCCATTTTGTTGAAACCTCCAACACCTTCCAATATTCTAAATAATTTTGTTTATATTTTCAATTTGGGGTAGTAGTCTAAAGATATTACTCATATCGCTAGGATTGAGTAATGCACAGTTTGTTTTTAGGCTTTGCTGCTTTTCTCCTAATTCTTTCTCCTGGAAATTTAAGAGACTACCCCTAAACGTCTTCGGCAATGAACAGCGCCATGGATGGCAATGACAGCAAGGGTATATATAGGTGGGAAGAACATGCAACAGGACGGGCTGGAGGACACTGGCTGGGGCGGGTGGGGGCGGCGGGGAGGGGGTGTTGAGCGACTTAAAAATAGAGGCTTGGTTGACAAACCCTCCCCAAGAAAGGGCGCCGCCAGAGGAGGGCGTTGGGCCTGGGTGGGGACCAACTGGGGAAGGCTCGGGAAAGCCGTTGTCTCCCCACGGCGGGCCCAAGGGGCCCCGCCATCACCAGCACTTGGGGCAGCTGACTCGGGAAGAGGGGCGCAGCGGCAGCTTCCAGCCCACGCGGGGGTCGGGCGGGCCAGCGGCGCCCCGTCACAGGTTGACCTTTCCATCTCAATAAACTCATCACCGGATGTGCTGCGACACTTAGAAAGGCTTTCCACAGCAAAGGTTGGAATAAAAAGGGTATTCC